TCCATCCTATGGCGCCGGTGCTAGTAGTGGTGGTAAAGCTAAGAAATCCAAGCCCAACCCGAAAGAGTGCGTGCAACTGGTATATATATATCCCGTTATTGACATCTATGGTACTTGAGGCTGCCCGCGACAACACCATCGCTGCCCACGTCGACACCATCTGTACAAGCACCCTCACAAGCACCTCCCACACCTTTACAGTACATCCCTAATCCGCCACTCTACTACCCAATGTATCCCCAAGCAGGCCCTGTTCCCAACTATCCTTACCCATACATGTATGCTTATCCGCCCTCCCAAGTTAAAATGTAGTTTTGTACGCAGAAAATATGATATCGTTTCGACTTGTCGTTTTCAAGTGTGGGCTGGCGGAGATTGAAATGCGCCGAAACTGCCGCCATCAAACTTCTCGATTTGGAAGTCACGTTGGCGGCGGAAACTCGACAACTAACACCCGGCGGCCTGGCCGGCTTGATGGTATCATCGGCCCGCTATCTCGGTTCCCAGCACCTTTCAACCTTTTGCAACCGTCAGCTGCCTCTCTTTCTTCTGGCCGCCGCCTTTCAGCGTTTCACGACGCAAGCCCAGTTCAGCTGACGTACCCGTAGTCGTCCTGCTCGAACACCTACTTGGGGGTTGAGCTTCAACTTGGCTTCAACGTCTAGTATCTACTCTGACTCGGACTATGTTGCCGTTGCAATTCTTCCTCTGGGGAAAAACGAGTTCTGGCTCCACCGCCATTCCACGCACGGATTCCTTTCTGTATCCGTTCATCTTTCGCAGAACCGTTCTGTGACAACGCGCCGCTTCAACCTTAGCTTCCTAGCTGGTGAACCGATCTTGGCCTGCTTCGTACAATATCATCTCTCTAGATCTGGCCCCAAATGCGCGCTTTCCACCGTTCTCGTATCGACATCGCGATCAACGTACAGACGAACGAATAACCACGCCGCGGTTTTTTATCAAACCGACCAAGTTAGATTCAGGTTTGAACTCGGATACCATCCTCCACCAGGACGGCTCACATGTAGGGAAATCCACACGAATCTAAAACGCATGGACCGGAAGTGTCTGCTATCTAATTAATCCACCCAGAATGATGGATACGAACTGGGGCTTTCTCACACCACGGTTCCCCTTCTTTCGAACTTGGTAAGATGTTCCGAACAAGAAAGAATCTTCGACGGCGGGTCCGTATATCAGTGCGGAGTTTTTATAACTTTCAAAGGCTCTCACCCCCAATTTCTCTCCAGTGATCGGTCTTGTTGAAGAGAAGCAGAACTTGTAACTCGGGTGTCAAATAATCAATGAAGTAGAAGGTTTCAAACCGTCAAATCACAATGGCTGAAACCGTTGAATCCCGAATCACAACGGTCCAGGGTATCTCGGAGGCACGCCCAAATTTCTCATTGGTGCACCTCACCCTCGATTTCTCATCTCACCTACCTCATTTTTCAATCTCCGGCTGGCATGCAGATTTTTTTTTTGACAGCGCGCATGCTGCGCTTCGTCATTGTCGTCATCAGAATTGTCTTCGCTCGGATCTCAGCTCTCGAACGGCTATACGTACCGCAAAAAATATATTCCAAGACACGGCATCGCGGTTCCACACCCACCCTCCCTTCATTCAATTTTCTGGAGATAGGTTCGATTCTTTCTCTTCTTCTCATGATTCCCTCCTTCTTTTCGGCGCGTTCTCTCGCGTTCTCCTTCTAGCGGTCATCGTAGGTCCCTCGCTGGAGTCTAGCCGCGCTATCGCCAGATCCATCCATCAACCGGTGCCCGAATATTCTTCTTTTTTATCCGATGCGCGTGCCCCGGCGCGTGTTGCGGTATGTGGCGTCGAGCGGAGGCTGTATGTGTCCAGTATCGTGTACATGCTGCGTCTGGCCTCTGCACCACGGTCAGCACACGACCAGACACGGTTGAACGGCGAGGCGCGATTTTCGCGCGCAACGAGGTGCAAATTGCGTTGAACTTGTTGGCTGGCCACTCGGATTCGTGCTTCCCAAGGTTAATGCTGCCATGCCGGCGGCTATCCCGCGTCGCGAAAGACTAACTATAACGAGCATGGCTGTAGCCTCCCTTGCCCTGGCTCAGGCTCGCTCACTAACAATCTGCCGAAGCCGAACGTTCGAGAAGGGAGGTGGGCACCGGCGCCTGAGCCCAAGAAATACCACCGGCGGCTTGAGCCCAACTCAAAAAATAAATTACAGCCGTAGGGCAGAGGTACAAGAGGTTTGTATGAACTGTAGTCTGTAGGCAAACGGCATTGGCGTCATGTTGGATGAGACCAATTCTTTGATAGCCCGAAGCCTGAGAGAGTCCGATAAAAAATACACTTAAGACATCCACATAATAGTCCAAGGAGAGAAGACAGGAACTTAACGAGCCGAGTGCGAGTGTCGTCGGGGTCGTTGTTGGGTGGATGGATGAGAGCATCGATCCGGCAAGAACTTGGCCATGGGCGTCCTGCGTGTTGCTTCAAGGCGTGCTTGCGCGCGGTGGCGGGGGCGGCGCGTCCGTCACTGGGGCGTCAGCGTCTGCAGCTGTGGGCGTAGGCGCAGTATTTTCGGGTCCGGGAGGTGATGAGGGCGGGGAGATGTCTACGGCGGCGCCAGCTGGCGGGTCATCGGCTTCTGGCTGCGAGTCCGAGTCAGCTGTTGGCGCCGCCGCCTGGTCTACCTTCACCTCGTCGAAGCTCTCGCCCTGCTCCTCATACCAGCGCCGCAGCCACGTCTCCGCGTCCGCGTACTCGTGCTTCACCTCCGCCAGCAGCGCGCCAAGCTGCGCCTGTGCGTTTGATGTGTCTACGCTCTTGTCAAATTTTGCTTTGAGACTCGCCTCGCCGACGACCTCCATGCGTGCGCAGGAAGAGGAGACGCGTGCGATGCCGAGCGTCGCCGACGAGCCCATGAGAAAGTGCGCAAGGTCTGCGAGCTTGCGGAGGTCCATTGCTGCTCTGAAACCTGCATAAGTATCTGATCAGTCGGCCGCAGGGAACGCGACGCACAGCGCCTCATCCATATCGGTGAACGCGGCCGGGACCTGTGCAAAATACATGGCGATCATGTCCTTTGAGTACGCGTGGGTGTCCTCGTCGTCGAGCTCGAGGATCTGGTTGAACGCGGCGACGTTGATGGTGCCGGAGGGGTCCTCTTCAATGCGAGCGTCGGGGGCCTGTGACAGTATTAATATGGCGCGAGCGGGGGCACTAGACTGGATGAGCGGCGCACCATTGTTAGACGGACGAATGGCTGAAAAGAGAGAGCACTTGAAGCGTGATCGGTATTGTTTTGACGCAGCCAAAAAATATTATAGACTGTCACCTTGCAACTTGACTTTTCCGTGCGGAATTCTGTGGTACTTGGCGACGCAAAGTACATATCTAATCGTCCTCACCGTCCCCCAGCACTCGACTCTGCTAAATTGATTCAATGGCCGCCGCTCTCACAGCCTGCCAACGGCGCTGCATGATGTCATCCAGGGGTGTAGATTGCCGATGCAATAGGATTGCTTCCGTCCAACACCACGTAAATATCTGTAAAAATTGAGCGGGGGCGGTTCTGGGTGGTTGAGGTGTTCTGGAGTCAGTCGTAGCTGGAAAAATCTTGTTTCTGCTGCACTTTTACAAATCTTCCAAAAAAAAACAAAAACTGCCAAATTCGATCTTGGCCTGGCATCCTAATTATAATTCAAGGGCGGCAAATCGCGGTTGAATTCGTATTCTTAGACGGACCTCGGCCACTATTTGTGGTAATGCTGCAAAAACAGGTCAGAGTAGAGACAAGGTCAGATGTGGACAAGAAAGCCAATGTCGGATGCAAAGGGTTATCGGCCGCCGGCGGCGTTTTCGAGGAAGAATTACCGACAGCCACGGATCCACCTCAGGGCGGAATAATCCTGTATACAGTTGTTCAGATCCCGGACAGAAAGCACGCTGCAGCATAATAACTCCATGATGAGCGAAATTGTCGCAAGATCGAAAGGGACCTGTAGTCTGGTATACAAATGCCAAAGAGAGCCTGAGCGCACACGTTTGACGCTCCTCCCGGTGAGTTTCTTTGAGACATGTTGAGACCAAAAAGCATGAGAGCGAGGTAGAGTAGGCGTACGCGACCTTTTTATAGCCTTGGGTTGAAATAAAATCAAAAGCCTGAGGTTGGTTTTCATTCGATGACGTCATCTCTGATTACGTCATGCGAGCCCCTAACTCACCATCGTTGTTGGTACCCATTCCATACAACGAAACATCGCTGTAGATACTGTGGGAACGACCGCTACTTCTCCAAATCCCCATCTGCCACAAATAGCGATGCCGGATCCGATATCGCCGAAAACGACTCGCAAAATTGACATTTACCCACAAAACTGCGAATCATCTTCCCACTGTGCCCGAGTCACTGGTCCTCGGAATCTCGACAACGGGATGTCTAGGTAGCTGATTCTTACTCGTATCTAAAGCACTACTATTACTCGCAGAACACGATATGTTCAACTCTCCACCAATATATCCGGGCTTCTCGGGCATGTTGAAATGCCGTTTGTTCTAAACACATCCATTAATTCAGCCCAAAAGCTTTATGGATTGCTAAAAGCAAGACATATACCTGCCATGTAGATGCAAGATGGCGCGAGAACACTGGTGGTTCGAACGCAATGGGTTACAGCCTGAGTTGGGAATAAATACCTGGCGCATGATCTCGGTGAGCTAGGCACCGATAAACAATAAATAAAACCTCACAATGAAACCAATGCATCTCGTCGTGGCTATAGTCGCTTCACCCGGAAGGAAGAGCTGGACTGCCGGAGGATATGATAGTGGAAAGTCGAATTTGAGTGTCATATTCAACTTAGCGTTGGTTGGATTACTTGATTGGCATTACTGTAGACTCGCGAGCCGTAGTCAAAAAAAAAAAAAAAAAAAGAGGCTAATGTAGGTCGAAAGGTTCAGGTGCAGATCACCGAAAGAACAAAAAACAAAAAACCCCTCCACACTATCGCCCGACCCCGAATCGAACGGGGATCTTCCACCCTACTTTCTGTGTGTCACAATCTCAGCAGATACGGACGCACTAACCGTTGTACTACCGAGCGATGATACAAAGAGATAGGTGCGTGGCTTATGCTCGCGATTCTTCCTACCTTCTTATAACTTTCCCACGGTTGAAATTGAGTTTTGTTGACGAATCTATTCGGGTTGAGCGCCTTGCTGAGCGTTGAGCACTGAGCTACAACTAGCGAGCGAGGCATCTTCATAGGTCCAACTCGATTACCGTTGAATTAGAAATGAAATTGGAACGTGTCGGTAGGCGGTTCCCTTTGTGGCGGTGGGTCGTTTTTCCCCATTCAAAGTCGCCGCTCACATCCTAAATCTCCATCGACCACCCCTCCTCAGTATCGCTCAAGCTCTTCGCCCGACCAAGCAAATACTCAAGGTGGCGGAACGCCGCCGCAGGCTGCCACGTCGGCAGCTGATGCCCCGCCAGGACCACCTCCACAAAAGTCAGGCCGCGCTCCGCATGCTGCGTCCCCATCACGCCCGCGCCCGCCAGCCCCCCGATGTCGTCGAAATCCTGCTCCGCCCCAGTGTACGGCACGAAGAAGACCGCATCTGCGTCCTCGTCCGTGGGCAGGTTGTGAAAACCGAGTGCGGGCGCAGTCTGGAACCCACGCGCCCCGCTCCAAGTCATGTTTTGGATCGCCAGCCTGCAGAAGAGCAGTTGAGTGTTTGGGGGGTGATGTGAGGACGCGAGAGGAGGGACGGAGGAGTTTACTCACAGAGTCCCGTTAGAAGGCAACACAAGATCGAGCGCACCAGTTACAATAAGCGTCTTGTTGAGGCGCTCGATAACTCGCGGAAGGACGTCGTAGATCGGGGCCGGCGACAAGTCCGTATTGTCGTTTGCAAAAGTCGGGTCCTTGCAGTAGATCCAACGCGTCTCCAGCGGCGCGTTCAACGCCGCTTTCACGTCCGCGCGGTTGAAGTACGACGTGCCGCCGGTGGGATTGCGCATGGGGTCCACGGGGTACGGGCACGCTATGCCAAGCTCATACGGGTAGAGGCACGGATTGAGGTACGACGCGGCGATGATGGAGTTGATGTATAGATCGCATTCGCCGTCGTTGACCGTGGACGAGCGGACGACGGGCTGGGCACCTTTGGGCGGGAAAATGAGGTATTCGTTAAGGAAGGAGGTGTAGCCGCAGTGGTCGTCGAGCGCGGAGAGTACGGCCTCGTAGGTCTTGTTGATGGGGAAGAGGTGCGGGAATTCTTTAACCATGGCCTGATGCGGGACTGCCCATTTACCGAGTGAGGGAGATATTATAGTGGCGGGCATTTAAAACCTACCTTGCTGCTGAAGGTCTACCTCCCCAATCACGGCATTTACCTATATCAGGATTTTCAAAATCTCGTGTGGAGTCTGGCTGTGGGAGAGTACTCACCAGCAAGGTCGCCTCAAGATTGAAGAACTGTGTATCCACCGCGTTAAGCATAGCGTCGGCAATGTACGGAATATAATAGCCTGCAGTCATATAAGTATCAATGAAGCAGAAAACATACAGAGGTCAAGCCACATACCAGCATAGCTCTCTCCCGTAATATACACCTTCCTCCCCTGCAGCGCAAACGCCTCCACAAAATTCTTCCACCACCCCAAAAACTCCTTCGCCACATCCGTCTCATCCACAAGCAGCCCGGGGGTGCCCTGGCTAAATCCCACCCCAACAGGCTGCTCGATGTACACGATGTTCGTCAGCCGGTTCCACGACCACGGATTGTGGCGCGGGCCCTCCGTCCCTGGCCCCCACACGAACGGGCCGTTCTCCTGTAAACTCGCGACGAGCGAGGAGCACCCCGGGCCGCCCGTGAGCCAGATGGTGATCTCGTCGGACGCGGCGGGGTTCGTGGACGGGAAGAACCAGAAAAAGAGCGCGCGCGTGTCGGTCCCGTTCGGGTTGACGCGGTACTCGTCTGCAATGGGGAGGAGGCCCGCGTAGGACTCGCCCACGTCCCCGTCGTAGAGCGGGATGTTCGTTCCGTTGACTGCGTATTCTGTTGAATCAAGTGGCAGTTAGATGTGTACCGGCGTTTTCACACGACGCGAGCGTACTAGCAGTCGTGTTTGTCAGATATTGGAAGGTTGATGGGTCGGCGCGTGGTTTAGGATGAGTAGGCCGCCTCGTAGCCTTCGTGCGCGCTCGAGAATTGGGCAGGTGCAAGACAGCATCTGCGCCTAGGGCCAAGAATCCCAGCACAGCGACCAAGACGGACGATGAAGGCATGCTCGGAATGGGCGCTCTTTCACCAGAGGAAATGGGTGCCTTTTATCAGAGACGCGCCCATTTTTGTCGGGTTGTGAGGATGAACTCGCATGATGATCACGCTAGGCGGGATGGGGGACGTGTAAACGCATAACGTTTGCGGGAGGTTTCAGGCACAAATGGTCCGGGGGAGAAACGGACATGGTTGTCAAGTCCTCCCTTGATTCTGAGAGTGAAGCGGTGGTTCGGGGCGCGGGCCGACAAAGCCGATTCTGGCTTTTCTTCCCTTCTTGATTGCTTTTAACCTTACTCCCTGCTGGCAGGAACGCTCAGAAATCCTTGAACCAAGTCTCGGCGAACGTCACACGTCTACAGTAATCCGAGGGCAGACACCGATTTTTCAGTCGCCAATTGAGAGTGCCGCCATCTTGAGAAAGTATTTGCGAGCGGACAATATTCGCAACGCTGCCGCAGCCCCGCGACGTACAATTTTCCCAGTATAACTTCAGTTCCCGAGCGAACTCTCATCTCGGAAGCACGCGTGCTCAAGGATATGCAATCGAGGCAACAGCCAGTCCCACGAGCAGTGAGACAAGTCTTTCGGACACAAGGAGAGCGTTCAGCTGGAATTTTATGATAAGAGATTATATGCAAGGGAAGAGTAGTATGTAGGGGGGAAATCCTTCGAGAGCGTACAACGATTGAAAACACAGCATGGGCGACTCGGACGCGGATCTAGAGCCGGCGTCTACTCTCTCGACGTGTTTGCCAGCGGGAAGGACGAGGACATGCGACGGAGACCGAAATCGGGCGCCATCGGGCGGGCGGCGGGGGGTGTTCCATGAGCGGGTGAGCGGCGGGGCACGTACTCACGGCGCGGGGTCGTCGAAGCTCTCTTTGTGATCCTTGTACCACTGCCTGAGCCAGCGCTCTGCATCTGCATACTCTTGCTTGACGTCTCCTAGCAGGGTGTCGATCAGTGCGAGGGCCTCGTCTGCGGCGAGATCCTTGTCTGCGTCCTCGTCGCGGAGCTCGCCGTAGTGCTGCATCTTCTCGCACGTCGCCTGGACCTTGGATATGCCGAGTGCGGCAGAGGAGCCCTTGAGGAAGTGGCCGAGCGCGGAGAGCTCTGGGAGGTCTTTGGCGGCGCTGTGTGGCGGTGAGGATGGAAGTAAAGATAGTCTCCCAGTATGATCCCGCAAGGCACCCCAGGAGACTAGACAGAAAAACAAGACGCACAAGGCCGTGTCCATCTTGTCAAAGGTGCTGCCCGCCTGTGAGAAATAAGCGGTGACCATTTCCTTTGAAAAGTCGTGGGTGTCTTCCTCGTCGAGCTCGAGGATCTGCTCAAAGATGGCGATGTCGATGGGCTGCGTAGTATGAGCCTCTCATCGCCGATAAGAGCAGGCGGAATACCTCGGCCTTGGAGGATGGCTCGGGCTCGGGGACAGGGTCATCTGTCGGGGGAGGTCGGGGAGTGCGGGGGGAATCGGGCTTGGAGTCGTCGGCGGGAGCGGGAGAAGTCGGGACGGGGACGGTGGGGACGACGGGGGACGGTGGCTCGTCGACAGCCATAATGGGAGAGCGAGAGTCCTTTTGATAGTACAATTACACTCAAAAAGACCCCCCCATGACGTCGATGCATTCCATTCCGTCCCGATCACTGACTGATTCCCATTCCAAAACTACTACCTTACATTCATCCTTCCTCAAACTACTACACGTTCGCAAAGTAACATTCATTGTCGACCAGACCATCGACCTCGATCAACTCCACAGAAAACCACCACAGCACAAGCACTCATATCACCCAAATCAATCCATGTGCACCCATCCATCCGATAAATTTGCGCCCCCATCCAATCCCCCAACACCAATCGGCGTCCACAATCCCCCCGCAGACGTCCGAGAACCGCGGTTCCCGACGAGTCTATTGCTCAACGCCGAGGGCTATCGAGATCAGTGTATCTGGGTCCGGGGACAAGGAGTCAGGACCGCTCAGCTGCCAGATTGAAAAATAGCTCGCGCGCGGATCTGCGAGGCAAGCGTCATCGCAGCGTCATCGACGGAACCCATGAGCTCGGTCCTGCCTCCGGTGTCGTAACACTCTAAAAAAAAATAGACTGCTCTCGATGGCCAACCTAAACCAGCGGCGAAGGGTGCGAGTGCTGGGGAGAGACGACGGCTGGTCCGGAAAAATTGTGTTGAATCCAGGTGGATTCTCCACTCAATATGCTTGACGCCAAGGCCAGCCGAGGCAGGGGCACGAACCGTGGCCGTGCCTCGATGGTGCGTGCTTCTTTCTACAAGGCGATAATCATATAGGAACAGGAAATATCGGCACGCCGGAATGGCGAATATCAGATAACGTTCGGACGAAGCAGAAAGGAGTAGCGGGAGAACACTGAATGAAAACATGGGGTCTCTGGACCTCTCTGGACCGATAGAGAGGAGACAGAGAGAGAGAATCCCCACGATTCTGATGCGGTTTGTTCCCGTTGATCCGCGATCTACCATCGGCCTTTTCCGTTTTCAGTGAAATCATTGAGTGCAGGCCACGAGCAGTCCTGTTTGTCTGGCGGGTGGGCATGGGTGAGACAGGATATGAGGAATCAACATATTGAGAATGCGTTGAACGATACTGTACGCAATCAGAATTCCAAGTTCAACCGTGGGAAAGATTACTGGCACGCACAGATTCACTGGGGCCATCCGCCCATGTCTATGCTATGACCTACCCACATCCCTTTACAATCGTCGCCCGGCCGCACAGCAGTGTGTCTGCGGATGATAACAGATTTGGCAGAAGATCCGGGGGCGATATTTGCTTT